AAATTTCATTTGTAATCTCCATTTAATATTCTTTAGTTTGCATCAGTGTGTTACCACTGTACCATGAATTTTATTTGAGACGCGAGTTATATGTTTTAACTATAACTATTAGAATTAATAATTTAAACACATTTATTTTCTTTTATAGAAAAAAAAAATTTATTTATTTATTTATTGAATTAATGGACACAAAAAAAACACTGATCGCGTGGTGACTGGCAAGAAGACTCTGTCCAACTTACTTTTTAGTTATTTCTTCCCAAGCCACTAGTACAGCTTACACTTGCTGACTTTACAGTTCCTCTTAAACAAATATGTGTTACAGGATGGATCAAGACAGTATCCGCAACATCTAAAGCCTTTTGCATTCATTCTTATTTATTTTATATTTATATCGCAAACGTTATTTTGTGTTGAATAATTTTCTCAGTCGATAATTTTGACTTATGGCCGTTTAAAGTTTGCAACATATTTTCAATAAAAAATTCTGAGTCCTTTACTGAACATTTAAACGACATTTTACGTTTCTTATTGCTTCCCTAACCCATAACTACATCTCTATTTAAATTTTTGGTGGAGTTTTTGAATTTTATAGCTCTTAGTAGAGCAACATTAGAAGTGCTATTAAGGCTTGTTTTTGACATATTATTCAAATCAAGGTCCCTATCACTACCTGTGGTTCTATCTAAGAGGGAAGTATCTAACGTATTTACTACGTTTATCGGCACTAATGTGCTTGACTCTTCATATGTTTGTAAGAGGGGGGGTATCTAACGTATTTAATACACTTATCGGCACTAATGTGCTTGATTCGTCATTTGTTTCGTTATCATTAAACGAATTACCTTTTATAATTTTCATTTTACAAAAATAATAAGCATTACATATCTTACGCCTAACATGTACGTTATTTTTTTAATTAAAATAATTGACTTACCTGATAATTGAGTATTTATATTCTCAATAATACGCTCGAAGATGTCTTGATCAGCTTCTTTTAAGCCAATCTTAAGTATTTCCTCCTTCTTCAATGCCCCAAGAATGGCAGCAGTGTAATTTATTTTAACCATAATCGTTCACGACTTGGAAACAAATTAAAAAAAAATTAATTAATAAAATTAGTTAACACTAGAATTGTGCATTATTGGAAGAAACTATACTTTAGATTGTATAGTTGTATAGAAGGTGACAAAATATATTGCAACGAATCATACCATATATGAAGTATCTAATCTAAGTATCTATAAAATCTTGCTTAACGTGGTCAAAATTACTAACAAATATATTTACTTTACAATTCACAAATATAACTATGCTGTTGAAAAACGATTTAAATGAATCAATGTCAATAAGGGACTTTGCAAACATTATAACAAGTGTAAGACATTAAATAAAAAAGTAGTTTGTTTTAATATATTAAATAAAATAAAATTTTTTTTAAAATTAAAAGCAAAGAACCAATCATTTAATTTGCTTTTACCCCCTTATTTAAATTAATTACATATGGTGATTTCCTTTTTCTTTTTTGTACTCTGAAAAGTTAAAAAAAAAGAAATTTGTTAATTTTTTTGAAAATTTTAATAAAAATGATTTAAATTACGTTTTATTTCATTGTTTTCTTCCTGCCGACGACGGTTTTCTTCCTGTCGATGGCGGTTTTCTTCCTGCCGCCGAAAGTTTTCTTCTTGCCGCTGGCGGTTTTTTTCGCGTCGCCGGTAGTAACAACTGGCCGTTGGCTGTTTTTTTTTTGCTATTAACGCTGCAGTTGCTAAAGAAAGATACAAAAATATTAAATTTTAATATAACATTTAATATAAATAATAATATAATATTATATATATATTTTGAATTAAATTATTTACATACATTTTTACCCCCAAAGAGCAATCCTATTAACACACCGGCTAGTATAGATCTATAATATATAGATCTAAAATCTATTACATAATTCTAATCAAATTCAATTATTTTGCTTTTATATATAATATTGTAACATAAATTTCATATGTAATCTCCATGTAATATTCTTTAGTTTGCATCAGTGTGTTACCACGCGAGTTTTATTTGAGACGCGAGTTATATGTTTTAACTATAACTATTAGAATTAATAATTTAAACACATTTATTTTCTTTTATAGAAAAAAAAAATTTATTTATTTATTTATTGAATTAATGGACACAAAAAAAACACTGATCGCGGTGACTGGCAAGAAGACTCTGTCCAACTTACTTTTTAGTTATTTCTTCCCAAGCCACTAGTACAGCTTACACTTGCTGACTTTACAGTTCCTCTTAAACAAATATGTGTTACAGGATGGATCAACACAGTATCCGCAACATCTAAAGCCTTTTGCATTCATTCTTATTTATTTTATATTTATATCGCAAACGTTATTTTGTGTTGAATAATTTTCTCAGTCGAAAATTTTGACTTATGGTCGTTTAAAGTTTGCAACATATTTTCAATAAAAAATTCTGAGTCCTTTACTGAACATTTAAACGACATTTTACGTTTATATTGCTTCCCTAACCCATAACTACATCTCTATTTAAATTTTTGGTGGAGTTTTTGAATTTTATAGCTCTTAGTAGAGCAACATTAGAAGTGCTATTAAGGCTTGTTTTTGACATATTCAAATCAAGGTCCCTATCACTACCTGTGGTTCTATCTAAGAGGGAAGTATCTAACGTATTTACTACGTTTATCGGCACTAATGTGCTTGACTCTTCATATGTTTGTAAGAGGGGGGTATCTAACGTATTTAATACACTTATCGGCACTAATGTGCTTGATTCGTCATTTGTTTCGTTATCATTAAACGAATTACCTTTTATAATTTTCATTTTACAAAAATAATAAGCATTACATATCTTACGCCTAACATGTACGTTATTTTTTTAAAAAAATAATTGACTTACCTGATAATTGAGTATTTATATTCTCAATAATACGCTCGAAGATGTCTTGATCAGCTTCTTTTAAGCCAATCTTAAGTATTTCCTCCTTCTTCAATGCCCCAAAAATGGCAGCAGTGTAATTTATTTTAACCATAATCGTTCACGACTTGGAAACAAATTAAAAAAAAATTAATTAATAAAATTAGTTAACACTAGAATCGTGCATTATTGGAAGAAACTATACTTTAGATTGTATAGTTGTATAGAAGGTGACAAAATATATTGCAACGAATCATACCATATATGAAGTATCTAATCTAAGTATCTATAAAATCTTGCTTAACGTGGTCAAAATTACTAACAAATATATTTACTTTACAATTCACAAATATAACTATGCTGTTGAAAAACGATTTAAATGAATCAATGTCAATAAGGGACTTTGCGAAAATTATAACAAGTGTAAGACATTAAATAAAAAAGTAGTTTGTTTTTTTTAAAATTAAAAGCAAAGAACCGATCATTTAATTTGCTTTTACCCCCTAATTTAAATTAATTACATATGGTGATTTCCTTTTTCTTTTTTGTACTCTGAAAAGTTAAAAAAAAAAGAAATTTGTTAATTTTTTTGAAAATTTTAATAAAAATGATTTAAATTACGTTTTTTTTCATTGTTTTCTTTCTGCCGACGACGGTTTTCTTCCTGTCGACGGCGGTTTTCATTCTGCCGCCGGAGGCTTTCTTCCTGCCGACGGCGGTTTTCTTCCTGCCGCCGAAGGTTTTCTTCTTGCCGCTGGCGGTTTTTTTCGCGTCGCCGGTAGTAACAACTGGCCGTCGGCTGTTTTTTTTCTGCTATTAACGCTGCAGTTGCTAAAGAAAGATACAAAAATATTAAATTTTAATATAACATTTAATATAAATAATAATATAATATTATATATATATTTTAAATTAAATTATTTACATACATTTTTACCCCCAAAGAGCAATCCTATTAACACGCCGGCTAGTATAGATCTATAATATATAGATCTAAAATAGATCTATTACATAATTCTAATCAAATTCAATTATTTTGCTTTTATATATAATATTGTAACATAAATTTCATATGTAATCTCCATGTAATATTCTTTAGTTTGCATCAGTGTGTTACCACTGTACCATGAATTTTATTTGAGACGCGAGTTATATGTTTTAACTATAACTATTAGAATTAATAATTTAAACACATTTATTTTCTTTTATAGAAAAAAAAAATTTATTTATTTATTTATTGAATTAATGGACACAAAAAAAAACACTGATCGCGGTGACTGGCAAGAAGACTCTGTCCAACTTACTTTTTAGTTATTTCTTCCCAAGCCACTAGTACAGCTTACACTTGCTGACTTTACAGTTCCTCTTAAACAAATATGTGTTACAGGATGGATCAAGACAGTATCCGCAACATCTAAAGCCTTTTGCATTCATTCTTATTTATTTTATATTTATATCGCAAACGTTATTTTGTGTTGAATAATTTTCTCAGTCGAAAATTTTGACTTATGGTCGTTTAAAGTTTGCAACATATTTTCAATAAAAAATTCTGAGTCCTTTACTGAACATTTAAACGACATTTTACGTTTCTTATTGCTTCCCTAACCCATAACTACATCTCTATTTAAATTTTTGGTGGAGTTTTTGAATTTTATAGCTCTTAGTAGAGCAACATTAGAAGTGCTATTAAGGCTTGTTTTTGACATATTATTCAAATCAAGGTCCCTATCACTACCTGTGGTTCTATCTAAGAGGGAAGTATCTAACGTATTTACTACGTTTATCGGCACTAATGTGCTTGACTCTTCATATGTTTGTAAGAGGGGGGGTATCTAACGTATTTAATACACTTATCGGCACTAATGTGCTTGATTCGTCATTTGTTTCGTTATCATTAAACGAATTACCTTTTATAATTTTCATTTTACAAAAATAATAAGCATTACATATCTTACGCCTAACATGTACGTTATTTTTTTAATTAAAATAATTGACTTACCTGATAATTGAGTATTTATATTCTCAATAATACGCTCGAAGATGTCTTGATCAGCTTCTTTTAAGCCAATCTTAAGTATTTCCTCCTTCTTCAATGCCCCAAGAATGGCAGCAGTGTAATTTATTTTAACCATAATCGTTCACGACTTGGAAACAAATTAAAAAAAAATTAATTAATAAAATTAGTTAACACTAGAATCGTGCATTATTGGAAGAAACTATACTTTAGATTGTATAGTTGTATAGAAGGTGACAAAATATATTGCAACGAATCATACCATATATGAAGTATCTAATCTAAGTATCTATAAAATCTTGCTTAACGTGGTCAAAATTACTAACAAATATATTTACTTTACAATTCACAAATATAACTATGCTGTTGAAAAACGATTTAAATGAATCAATGTCAATAAGGGACTTTGCAAACATTATAACAAGTGTAAGACATTAAATAAAAAAGTAGTTTGTTTTAATATATTAAATAAAATAAAATTTTTTTTTAAAATTAAAAGCAAAGAACCAATCATTTAATTTGCTTTTACCCTCTTATTAATTAATTACATATGATGATTTCCTTTTTCTTTTTTGTACTCTGAAAAGTTAAAAAAAAAGAAATTTGTTAATTTTTTTGAAAATTTTAATAAAAATGATTTAAATTACGTTTTTTTTCATTGTTTTCTTTCTGCCGACGACGGTTTTCTTCCTGTCGACGGCGGTTTTCATTCTGCCGCCGGAGGCTTTCTTCCTGCCGACGGCGGTTTTCTTCCTGCCGCCGAAGGTTTTCTTCTTGCCGCTGGCGGTTTTTTTCGCGTCGCCGGTAGTAACAACTGGTCGTCGGCTGTTTTTTTTCTGCTATTAACGCTGCAGTTGCTAAAGAAAGATACAAAAATATTAAATTTTAATATAACATTTAATATAAATAATAATATAATATTATATATATATTTTAAATTAAATTATTTACATACATTTTTACCCCCAAAGAGCAATCCTATTAACACGCCGGCTAGTATAGATCTATAATATATAGATCTAAAATAGATCTATTACATAATTCTAATCAAATTCAATTATTTTGCTTTTATATATAATATTGTAACATAAATTTCATATGTAATCTCCATGTAATATTCTTTAGTTTGCATCAGTGTGTTACCACTGTACCATGAATTTTATTTGAGACGCGAGTTATATGTTTTAACTATAACTATTAGAATTAATAATTTAAACACATTTATTTTCTTTTATAGAAAAAAAAAATTTATTTATTTATTTATTGAATTAATGGACACAAAAAAAACACTGATCGCGTGGTGACTGGCAAGAAGACTCTGTCCAACTTACTTTTTAGTTATTTCTTCCCAAGCCACTAGTACAGCTTACACTTGCTGACTTTACAGTTCCTCTTAAACAAATATGTGTTACAGGATGGATCAAGACAGTATCCGCAACATCTAAAGCCTTTTGCATTCATTCTTATTTATTTTATATTTATATCGCAAACGTTTTTTTGTGTTGAATAATTTTCTCAGTCGAAAATTTTGACTTATGGTCGTTTAAAGTTTGCAACATATTTTCAATAAAAAATTCTGAGTCCTTTACTGAACATTTAAACGACATTTTACGTTTCTTATTGCTTCCCTAACCCATAACTACATCTCTATTTAAATTTTTGGTGGAGTTTTTGAATTTTATAGCTCTTAGTAGAGCAACATTAGAAGTGCTATTAAGGCTTGTTTTTGACATATTATTCAAATCAAGGTCCCTATCACTACCTGTGGTTCTATCTAAGAGGGAAGTATCTAACGTATTTACTACGTTTATCGGCACTAATGTGCTTGACCTTCATATGTTTGTAAGAGGGGGGTATCTAACGTATTTAATAGACTTATCGGCACTAATGTGCTTGATTCGTCATTTGTTTCGTTATCATTAAACGAATTACCTTTTATAATTTTCATTTTACAAAAATAATAAGCATTACATATCTTACGCCTAACATGTACGTTAATTTTTTAAAAAAATAATTGACTTACCTGATAATTGAGTATTTATATTCTCAATAATACGCTCGAAGATGTCTTGATCAGCTTCTTTTAAGCCAATCTTAAGTATTTCCTCCTTCTTCAATGCCCCAAGAATGGCAGCAGTGTAATTTATTTTAACCATAATCGATCACGACTTGGAAACAAATTAAAAAAAAATTAATTAATAAAATTAGTTAACACTAGAATTGTGCATTATTGGAAGAAACTATACTTTAGATTGTATAGTTGTATAGAAGGTGACAAAATATATTGCAACGAATCATACCATATATGAAGTATCTAATCTAAGTATCTATAAAATCTTGCTTAACGTGGTCAAAATTACTAACAAATATATTTACTTTACAATTCACAAATATAACTATGCTGTTGAAAAACGATTTAAATGAATCAATGTCAATAAGGGACTTTGCAAACATTATAACAAGTGTAAGACATTAAATAAAAAAGTAGTTTGTTTTAATATATTAAATAAAATAAAATTTTTTTTAAAATTAAAAGCAAAGAACCGATCATTTAATTTGCTTTTACCCTCTTATTAATTAATTACATATGATGATTTCCTTTTTCTTTTTTGTACTCTGAAAAGTTAAAAAAAAAAGAAATTTGTTAATTTTTTTGAAAATTTTAATAAAAATGATTTAAATTACGTTTTTTTTTCATTGTTTTCTTCCTGCCGACGACGGTTTTCTTCCTGTCGACGGCGGTTTTCATTCTGCCGCCGGAGGCTTTCTTCCTGCCGCCGAAGGTTTTCTTCTTGCCGCTGGCGGTTTTTTTCTCGTCGCCGGTAGTAACAACTGACCGTCGGCTGTTTTTT